TGTGTGGGTGTTTTTGGTAGAGGTATAGGTAGATCCCCCTCTAACCTCGCTTGTTCGATGCTGCTACTCTGTCTGTCTCCCTTACTCGACTTCGTCCTGGTGTACCATAGTGCCCCTCACTCGCCTCGCCTACCTTGGTTTCTGCTTGGTGTACAGCCAGCCACTTCGTCTCTTATCTATCTCGTTTCGCCCCGTCCCCCTCTCTGTCAATATAACGGCATCTTCCTCTGTGTGGTGTGGTAGTCTCGTGACTGCTGCTGCTGCTGCCTTCGTGATGGGACCACTGACTTGTGGCTGGCTGAGAGGGCGGGTGGCTATTGCTGTTGCTGCTGGCTGGTGGGTGTGGGATCGGCTGATCTGTGGTGTTGTTCGGACTTGTCTGCTAAGCTGCCAGCCTCCCAACTGTTGCATTTTTGTGCAGACTTGCATACAATACACACATACCCACATACATACATAAATGTGAGCAGAGTGTTTTGAAGTGCTAATCTGACTGACTAGTGGCTTGACTGGCCGAATGAATGCTTGGTAGGGAGCCTACTGTGGCCGGCCGACTGACTGACTGACTGACTGGGCGGTTTGGCGTCGATCTAATTGGTATCTCTGCGGTGGGTTGCCTGCTCTCTCCCACACACACTACACTCCATTGTGGGTGGATGGGATGGATGGAGTGGGGGATGACTTATGTATGAATGAATGACTTGGATCCGTCCGTGTGTGCATGCGTGAATTCACTTTCTGTCTCGCTCACACCCCGCTCAGACGCAGTTGGTCTCACGCACGCACAAATAATATTGACACACAGAAGACACACATGTACACACACAGCACCAAATCGGCACAGAGCCGCCTCGTTTCAGGTGTCCCATCTATCCGTCCGTCCATCCATCCATCATGTTTCATTCATGGAGGCTTTGTCCTCTTGGGTCTTCGTCGCATCGGCCCCTCCCCACCAGCCCCTCCCACGTCATCCCCCCGTGGCTGCTGCCTGTTGGCACGTGCTGGTGCTGCTGGCGGTGCCTCACTCGGCTGCCGTGACAGCATGTCTTCTATGTCGTCTTCACTCATGCCCTCAGTCACGTGAACTGCACCACACACACACACACACACACCACTCGTCGTACGATGCTGTGAGCTGGTGCGCTGCTTACAGTGGACTGTGTTTCCGAAGTCTTTGGTCATCTGGCCGTCCTCGCCGAAGAGCCTCTCCAGGTCGCCGGCCATCATCTGCTGGAAACGATCGCTGACGGCCTCTGCTTCATCGTCGCTGTCGTCGTCGTCGCGTGGGGAGGATTCCCCTTCCTCATCAATATTGTCATCTTCTTCCTCATAGCTCTTCTCGTCAGCAGCACGCGCCCGAGCAGCTGAGGAGCGACACAGACACACAGAAGTCAAGAAAACAATGTGTGTGTGTGTGTGTGTATGTGGTGTGTGCCGATCGACTGACTGACCATCTCTTATCCTCGGTGGCCTCCTGGGTAATGATGTGTCAGCTGGTGCTGGTGACGGCGACGCTGATGGTGACGATAACGGTGGTATGTCAGGCCTGTCCTCCACATCCACAAACTCATCATCCCCCTCAATCCACCGAGAGAAATCCATCGGCTGCTCCTCATCATCTCCCATCTCGGCCTCGATCTCGTCAAGGCCTTTTTCCAGCTCGTCAATGTCATCGACGCCCCCGCCGCCTTTCTCGAGAAGCGACAGCAGCGCCTCGTACTGCTCCTCATTCAACTCGGACGTGTCGTCGCCCACAATGCCGCTGGACAGCCTCTCCAAATCCAGCTTGATGTCTTCATCCGAGAACTCCTCGGGATAGCCTTCACGCTGGGATTTGGCAGCGGCCTCAGCAGGTTCTTCCTCTCGTTCTTCCTCGTCGTCGAGCTGATCGTCGAGGTCTGTGTCGCCATCGTCGCGCAGCAGGTAGGGGAGGGCGGCTGGGAGGGAGGACGAAAGCGAGATGACCTCGTCGCTGATGCGTCAATGGATGGGCACACACACCCAACAGATATACAGGCAGGCAAGTCAGCAGACTGTGCACATGGGGGCAGTCATTGCCTTTCTGTCTGTCGCTGTTCACCTGTCCATGGACAGCAGCCAGGTCAGGTTGTCGGCGAGGCCCTCCTTTGCGGCTTGTTCCGTGAAGCCGTCATCACTCAATACAGACGAGGGCAGCAGAATGCGAGCAGACGGACCGACGGTGTCGAGCAGCTGCGCACACACCCAACCCAACCCGCACACGCACACGCAGGCGCAATCATGTATTCATCATGCTGGCCGATCGCTCGTTGCTGCGTACCTGTTTCACTGACTCGACAGAGGGCGCCTCCGACACTGAAGACACAAAGGCACAGACAGGCAAAGCATCACAGCACATCACATCCATCGGTATATAAATCCTCCTTCCCGTCCTTACATGCAACACCAACGACTTCCAAGTTCTGGCCTCTCTCCACAGCCTGCTCGACCAGTGCCATCCCATCAGCGTCCAGTCTTGTGAGCTCCAGCATTACTCTCCCCAGCTGGCCGCCCCCCTCTGTGTCATCCTTTTCAACCTCCTGTTCCCCTGCCAGGTCCTCAAAGCCCCCCGATCCTCTCGTGGCCGGATGTGGCAACGATGCTGGCCGTTTCTTCCCCAGGAAGCGGGCGCGTGAGGCGCTCACCCGCCGAGGCCTCCAAGGCAGAGAGGCCTGGATGGAGAGAAGGAGACAGAGGGCTGAGTGCATTGTATGTCAGATCGTCTTGCCCGTGTCGGTGGATACCTCTTTGCCTGCCAGGACGCCATCGATGGCCGCCAGTGTGTCGATTGAATCGACCAGGAGGCAGGGGAGGGCCATCCCCGCGTCGCCGCTGCCGTCTTTCATGAAGGGGCTGATGACCCTCTGGACGCGCTTGGTGTTCAGAGAGCCGGTCACACGAACGACAAACTGACAGTCGTCCTCTACGTAACACACACCCAACCACATGGACACACACGTACAGCACTGATACGCATCGGTGCCTCTCCATCGATCTCACCCACCGAAGTTGTCTTGCAGCTGCTTGACTTGCCTGCCTCCCTGCTCCATGAACACCCGCCATCCATAGTCGTAGGCAATGTCACCGTAGAGGGCTGCCGTGCGGGACATGTCCATGACCGCGGGGAGGGTGCCGCTTGTGCCCACCGATGGGAAGCGCGAGAGTATCTGGCCCTTGGTGTGGGCTAACACGCGGTCCCACGCCATGACGGCCTCCTCAGACACCCGCTCACCTTCCTCCACCTGATGAATCAGTTCATGACACACATCACATGACAAGAGTGATCAGGTCATGCATGTGTTGTGCTTGTGCATCTCTCTCTTGTCCGTGTTGCCTTACCCCTAGTTCGCGCACGCGGACGTCTGACTGCTTGCCAGCCATCACTGCGCGGCCACGAACAGGCCGCCCAGCACCAGGAGGACGAACATGCGGCCGTATAGGAAGCAGGAATGAGGCTACTGACGGCGCGCGGAGGTGCGATAGTGCCGCTGACGTCCCAGTGAACGGGGAAACCACAGCGATGAAAGCGGGGATGAGTCGATACGCCAGCAGAACCATCAGGAATCGATGAGGCCGCTCTCCAAGTCCACGATGCTGCTTATTCATCCCAGATCTTCCTTTCCCTCGTCTGCGCGATTGAGCTCGCAAACGGCGACGATCCAAGGGAGAAAAATGTGCGTGCAGAAGGGAGCAATGCAATGAGGCATGACGACGAAGCTCACCTGAACGGAGATCTGGCAATTCGAACGACGAAATCGATGGATCACTAACTGATTCATGGCATCCCCTGCCTGCCCTGCGTCGGCTGCAATGGCATCCAGCCCCACCGCCGACGCATCTCCCTTGCTGCCCGGCCCTCCCCCCAAGCGCTCTCTGCGGGAGGTCATCACGGCGTGGCTCATCACAATGAGGGTCCGATTTCACGACAGTGCGATGGAGGCTGCCTACCTCAACCAGGACCCCAGCAGCGTCTTCTACGGGCTCTACACATTGCACGGGATGATGTGCGTCTTCTCGCTGGCGAGGTCGGTGGTGTTGGCGCAGAGCATGCCTGGATGGGGCACGGTGCCCACACTGGTGGCCCTCTATGCGCACATCGGCCTCTGGATCAACGGGCTCACAGTTATCAACGCCCTGTGCGTCATGGGGTTTCTCAAGAGCCCATGGTCTGTCGGCACGCACCTCAAAGCGGAGACCATCTTACACATGCGAGGACGCAGACGGATGCACACACACTTTCGACTGCCGTGTTCGTGTGTGTGTGGTGTTTAGGTTAATGATCAACCTGGTCCACAGCGACCACCTGAGGGCAACGATTTGGGATGCTTTATCGGTGATCATTCCCTTGGGCCGTTTGTGGCCGCTGATGTGCAACTGCACCTTCACCCTCATGCTGCCGCCGCCACTCATCACTCTCCCCTTCCGCGTCTTTGTCGTCGGCGTGACCTTCGCCTGGTGCATCCTCCTGGAGTGCACGTGCCCACAGACTCTCATGGACAGCGGTGTCACGCGCACGCAGGTCATCAACGGGTACGTGATCGTCATCTACCCCATCCTATGCATCTTGTATCGCGACTACCAGCTGGAGACCTACTCACGGGCGCTTTTTGAACAATCATGCAAGACGACCAAAGAGCTGCAGTTCCTGGGAGCGATCTCCAACGACACTGTATTACTCACAGACGGCAAGAACAGGTGCGTGTCGCGGCTAGACGGGCGCCTGGAGGGCAGTCCCTCCATCTATGACTTCGTGCACCTCGACGACCGTGACAGCGTGGAGGAGCTCTTGCGTGACCCGCCGCGTGTGTCGTCGTCGATGAGCCAGGAGGATGGGGATGAGGGCTTCAAGTCGGAGACGGTGCGCATGGTGTTGCCCAAGAAAGGCGCCAGACACTCTTCGAGCAACTGCGGCGGGCCGCATGGCCCAGCAGGTGTGAAAGATAGATGTGTTGCCTGCCATCCACGCAGTGGTGGCCAGTGGAAGGGCGGTGCCTCGTGCGTCTTTGTGTGTGTGGTGCAGACTATCGTCACATGGAGGTGTATGTCCGTTCGTTGAGAGATGAGGAGATGCTCGGCCGCCAGTGTCTTGTATGCCTGCGCGACGTGACACAGATCACGCGCGAAAGGCAGAAGCTGGCCATGCTGCTCGAGGCTGTCAGCCAGCGGCTGGGCATCGTGGCCTGGGGGTCAGCAAGCGACACACACAAAACACCACCAATACGTTCTTCATTCATTGTGTGTGGTTGTTCCCCTGGGTGTCCAGATGCGACTGCGTGTGTACCCCGGGAGACGACAACGCCCAATGCGGCGAGGCCGTGTTCTTCGGGACAGTCTATGAAACCGTCACTGGCAAAAAGTACGCAGATGGATCTACTGGATACTCTGTATGTCCTGCATGGTCTGGTCGGTTCATTGATTCACTGCAGGCCGCCGGACCCCTCCACGACTCCCAAGTCGGCCTCTCCCCCTTCCCCGCTTCACCGCCCCACCAGCGCGACGACGGCCGTCCCGCCCGCCGACCTTCCACCGCCGTTTGATGCCATACACGAGAGGCCATCGCACGCCTACCTGGAGCCGCCAGACGACTGGGGCAACCGATCCATCGACAGCGAGGAGCCGGTGTCACAGCTGTCCGCCGGGTCAACCGCCATCAGAGAGTACATGGCCCTCATAAGGCGGAGGGTCGGGGTGATGGACCCGCTGATTTCTGTTGACGACGATTTGCAGCCCTGCTATGGCTTGCAAGCGCCCCTGCCACAAATGCAGCCACAGCAGCAGCCACAGCAGCGACGGGCGTACTCAGCAGTCGATGTTCGTTGCGTGTCCCGCAGCAGCAGCGGCTGCAGCGGCATACGGCCGCTTGAGGGAGACGCTGCGGTGGCCGCTGAGCGATGTGTGGATGGGTGCGATGCCCCCCCGGCCAGGCGGGACAGCGACGGTAACTTCTGGACCAGCTGGATGCAGCACTTCGCAGAACCGGGACGGTCCAAGCTGCAGGAAGCATTCGGGGTGAGTCACACACACACACAGACACGCACAAAGCAGGTATACTGACTGTGTGTGTGCGTGTCTGTGTCTGGGCCTGGGCCTGAGTTCATTCAGCGTCTGTGCCACAATAAAGAGTCTTTCTTAATGGACCTCCAGTACGAGACGCCACAGGGCGGAGAGATTAGGTACGTAGCATGCATGATAACGTGGCACAGTCTTGCATATGTGGGCTGTGTGTGTGTGTGTGCATGTTTTTCCAGGTCGTTTAAGGTGGGCGGGCAGGCGGATCCCGCCTGCCCTGACTTTGTGTGGGGCCTCTTCCAGGACACCACGTCGTAAGTCAGACCATCACCACACACACACAAATGGACATCTAATTGTGTATTGTGTTTCAACCTCTCTCTCTGTCTGTGCCTTCTGATGTGGTTCAGAGAGCGTATGCGTGAGCTGTCGACGCTCAATTTGACGCAGTGGCTGCAGCGGCTGGTCGAGACGCACTTCGCCGGATGGGGTGTGGCTGAGATCCAGGACACGGGCACCATCACACAGAGCTCAGCCACACTGGACGCCCTGCTGGGCAGAACCGTTCAGGTCAGTCAGTCAGTGGTGGGATTGACATCCAGACAAGCGTCCACCCACACATCCATCCATCCCATGTTTCCCGTCTGTGCAGGGTTCGAGTGCTCGTGTGGTGTTGAGCAGCGACGCCCTCCAGATCTTGCGGGCGCACGGGTCCTTCAAAGACCATCCGCAGGAGGTGAGCCTGGCAGAGAGAGAGGGAGGGACAGAGGGAACAGTCAAAGAGATGCATTAGTAGAGGCCACTGACATCTGTTTTGTGTGTGTATGTGTGTGTGTGTGTGTAAGCTCCGTGTGGCTTTCACTGGCCGTCGCATTGTCCACCGTCTTCGGCTGACGGCCTTCGTGGATCGAGAAGGTAACAAAGCGAACATCCACACGCACTTGGTCAAGTCCCTGTGCGCGCCTGTCTATAGATCCCGCGCTTGTCGTCTTTGGCCTACGTGTTGAGGAGACCCGTCGGTTCCCTCCTCCGGTCAACACCCGCTGCGACGACATCGTGCTGCCCATCGACAGCCCTGATGACCTCCAGCTGCCCGTCTCGTCGCCGAGAATGCCCATCGTGCCGCCGCGGTTCGATGTGCTGGGCAGTGGGGATGGGGCCGGGCTGGTGGATCAGCCGGTGAGGGTCATCATTCCACCCTCTTACCAACCGGACGACCCGTGAAGTGCATGTGTGTGTTTTGTGGATGTCTGTGTGTGTGCGTGTGTCATGGTGTGTGTGGAGCGGCGCGTCGCCAATGAGTGAGTCGGTGGTAGTGAGCCAGCGCACCCTGCGTGTGGGGCGTTGTGTGGCGAGTGAGGTTTGAAGGTTCGAGTTGGTTTATTGTAGGGCCTATGGGAGTCACGCCTGTGCTAGTCTGCGCAGAGAGGTGCATTGACTGCATGTGGTGGTTTCGTGGTCGAGTTGATGTGGTGTGATGCACGTTGAGATTTCCCTCCCTCCCTCCCTCCCTCCCTCCCGTGTGTGTGTGCGTGCATCGATGGATGGACGGATGAAGGGATAGCTCAGTGGATGGATTCGACTAAGTGTATGCATCAGCTACTGTGCACAGACAAGTCTACACACAACAAGGCAGCGTCATTGCATCTCTCTATGCACATGCAGCCCCGCCGCCCTGCCGCATCTCATCTCATCTCACCTCACCTCGTCTAATCTAGATGAACTCCTGTGTGCTGAGGAGTAGGTCTGCCTCACACACCTGCTTCCCGTCTGCCAAAGTCACTAACGGCCCATCCAGCTCGGGTGCATATGCCGGGGGGACAGCCGCCATCAGCCTTTTGGTATAGGGCATGAACTCCGCCTTTCCCACCTCGGCTTCGATGCGCTGCACCTCGGCCTCAGTCATCCCCGTCACCTCTGCCAGGGACTCGTCGATGAGGCCGGGCTTGATGTACTCTATCACGTTGCGCCTGTGCGGTAGGTACAGTCAATCAATGCACACATGCGACAGACAGGCACAGTCGTGCTGTCATTTATTAACCTGTACTGATCGGTGTAGGCAAGCGCCGCCTCGAGGAAGTCCGCCTTCAGCTGGGAGACGGCAGCATTCAACGCGGCCTTCTGCTTGCGGTGGCCTAACTTGCGAGGCTGGGAGTCCCTCTGCACACACACGCAGACACACACAAACGCACAGGAGGACAGCGCATGCAGACAGACACGCAACCCCTCGCCTCCTCCCTCACCTGTAGAGCGAGCTCGTGGCAGATGCGATCGATGGTCTCGGGCAGCCCCTTGATGTTGTTGATCTCCCACTCGATCTCTTTGCGCCACTCGTCACGCAGCAGCTTCTACCGCAGCGGCATTAGGGCAGGGTCGCGGATCACCGGATCACCATGCATGGTCAGCCGGATAACCTCGCTCGGGCGCTTGCCTTTGCCGAACACTCGAGATGCGGCGAAGCTGACGGCGCATATGACCACCGAGTAAGGCGTCAAGTCGAACAGGTAGGACACGGAGCGACAGTTGCCGTGATCGGGGACTCGACAGAGGATCTTCCGCCAGAACAGCACGTCGACCACGATGTTGGTCCGGTTGTCGCAATTGATGAATGGGTAGACGGCGACAGGAAGGCCCCGTGCGGCCATGTCAAGAAAGGCAGCGATGGTCGTGGAGAGGACGGCAGCAACCCTCTGGCCGCACAAAACTGACAGCTCTGGACTCAGCCTCGGCGGGCCATTGGAGTTCAGTCGGGGGTTCGGTGCTGTAAGGGGGAAGAGTTGGTAACTCGGGTAAACGACGCTCTTGTCATAGAGTAAGGCGCCTGTGTCGCAGGGGGGTTGTCGATCAGGGTGGCCCCTGGTTGAGAGGCTTGACATAGCCACAAGGCAATAGAGCCGGTCGGTCTCGAACGAGGCAACCTCGGGACTCACAGCGACTTCCGTGCGATGCCCGTAGTCCTCGATTTCCCGCAAGATAGCCTGCTGCTTCTGCCGTTGCCGCTTGAAGAAGCTGTCCTCAGACATCCAGCCCAACAGATATTTGACAGCATGTGGGTTGCCGCGCACTCTCAGGTCATAGACGTAGAGCTTCCGGCCCCTCTCGCACATGGCCCTGGTGTGCCGCCCCCTCTCGACGTACTGCCGCAGACACGCCTCACTGCAATAACGGGGACTGACCTCACGCACACACCGACTGCACACGTGGAATCGCTGGCCAGGCTCAGGTCGCTTGCCGCACACGATGCACTGCTGAAGCTCCATTTCAGGGTCAGCCGTCGAGGCGTCCATCCGCACTTTGTAGCCGGCCATTTCGCTGAAGCTGAAGGGACGCCGGCCACCTGGGGCGCTTTGAAGTGCTGCTGGGTGGTCCGGTTGCTTCATTGGCGAGGCCCATAGAGGCGAGGCGGGCGCCAGCATGTGCTGAGGGTGCGGCGGGCCCGGAGGAGGAGGACGAGAGCGATGGGCGCGGCAGACATAATGAATGGGTCAGCCCAACACGGCAAAAGAAAGACGCGTTCGCCGTGCCGCTTCTGCCTTTCTTACTGCTTTTGCTGATGTGTTCTCGCCTGTACACTCCTTCAAGCGATCCACTATGCGAGCTAACCCCAGATCTCCTCCCTCTGGATGAATGGAGGCTCTTTGAGGACAGCCAGACAGTGATCCATGCTATCGTAAACTGTCCAAGATCCGAAACTCATTCAGCAACGTACAGCTTTTGGTTCATCATCATGAGTCAACGTCCTACGCCTCATTCGCTGAGATCCAGCAACCTCTTCTACCCCGCCCGCACCATTGGCCTGGTGACCGACCGCATTCCCTTCCAGTACTCACAGATGGGCAACGACGCCTTCCTGGTGGTGAGCGTCGGGCGAGCATACCAGGTCATGGATGCCCGCAGGCTGCGGCTGGCCTACATCGGCCACCAGGGCGGCGACAAGATCAGGGCCATGTGTGCGGACAAGGAGACGGTGTTTGTGGCCGTCAAGCGGGACATCGTGGGCTACAGGCGGCTCAAGGAGGTGAGGAGGAGGGACTGGCTGGCAGATGGATGGATGGATAGATCAGCAGTGTGGATGCACTCGCCGTGCTCTCCCTGTCTGTGTATTTCAAGGTCCATCGGTTTTCGGGTCACCGCAAGTCTGCCAGCGGTCTGCATCTGTTTGGCAGGACACTCATGTCCTGGAATGAGAATGAGCTCAAGTTCTGGGACCTTGACACAAGTACACGAGAGAGCAGAAAGAAGATGCCATCCGTCCTTCTGCTCATTGTACTCGTCTGTTTGTCCATTGTCTGCAGACGCTGAGGTTCCCTCCCCCGCCCTCCCCGCCGATTTCTCCATCTCGTGTCTGCTCCACCCGCCCACCTACCTCAACAAGGTCCTCATCGCATCCACCGCAGGCGACCTGCAGATCTGGAACACCCGCACCCTCGAGCTCATCCACCACCTGACATGCATCCCCACAGCAACCACCGGCACCCGCGACACTGTCACGTGTATGGTCACATCCCCTGCTTTCGACGTGGTGGGCGTCGGCTTTGCGTCTGGGCGGATCGTTGTGTGTGACATCCGGAAGGACGAGGTGCTGATTGAGTTCCGGCAGCAGCAGGGGGGCGTGACGTGTCTGGCGTTCCGATACGACGGCGTGGGAATGCTGGTCAGCGGGGCGACTGGGGGCGAGGTGGTGGTGTGGGACCTCGACAAGCAGCAGTTCCACAGCACCGAGGAGAATGCGCATGCGGGGAGGGTCGTGCAAGCGACGTTCTCGTCTGACGGGCCGTTCCTCTTCACACAAGGTGCGTGTCGGACAGGGGAAGGTGTGAATCTGTGTTGCTAGAGTGTATTTGGCTGCAGGTGAGGACAATTCGATCGTCAAGTGGGTGTTCGACCGGGCGGACGGCGGCATGCGGGAGGTCAAGGCGAGAAGGGGACACATCGGGGCCGTCCACCACCTGGCATTCTACGGTCAGCGACTATCCTAACGCCCCTGGCGCATTCACCAATTTCATCCATTCGTGTGTATTGGTGTGTGTCATCCTGCAGATGACGAGGGCAAGGAGCTTCTGTCGTGCAGTACTTTCGACAACAAGGGCATACTCGGTAGGTAGCCGACGCACACACACATCACCGCACGAACACACACGAGATGTCTGTTTTGCTTATACCGTTCATTCAGGCAAGACGTCGTTCATCCAGCAGCACCAGAACCTCCATTTCAGCCAGAAGGCCCTCAGGAAGCGGCACGACAAGTGGAGCCCGCCCCATCAGCACCTGCCGCCCATCGTCGATGTGGCCTTTGCGTACTCACGGCACTTCGACTGGCCCAACGTCGCCACCGTCCACAAGGGTAGACCAGATCGGGGGCAGATCAGATCGTTCGTGTGCTGACAATGCGGTGTGGCTTCTTGCAGGTGAGCATGAAGTCTATCTGTGGAGCGGACACGACAAGACTCTCGTAAGTGATGGCGGACAGCACACAAAGCCATCCTCAGCCCACCTATCTCTCCCTCATGATCAGGTGCCGCGGACGCTCTCGCTTCGTCACGAGAAACAGCGGCCGCCCACCCTGCCCGCGGCCACAGCAGTGGCCATCAGTGGCTGCGGCAACTTCGCTGTCGTGGGCTACGAGGACGGCCAGATGCATCGCTATAACCTGCAGTCCAGCCTGCACCGTAACAGCTACTTGCGGAAAGACAGTGACGTAAGCAGAGAGAATTATGTGCCGAATTGTGTGAGAGTATCGGTGGATGGGCATCTGTTGTTGTCTGTGCAGTGGTCGGATCGGGCCCACCGGTCTCGCGTGAGCCACGTGGCCATCCTGCACTCGCAGACGCTGCTGTCAGCCTCCAACCATCCAAAGGTACCAACAGGGACAAAGCCACCCAGTGGATCGATCTCCTGTGTCACCTCCCCGTCTCTCTCTGGCCTTCCAGGACATTTGCCTGTGTGTGTGGAGCCTCCACAGCCACCAGCTGGAGCATGAGATCGCCATCCAGCCCACGACAGCACCGGCCGGCCCCGTCACCATGTTTCGCTGCATGGGGGTGCTCGCCGCTGTCGCACTCACGAGTGAGCGGGGGCGTTGAACACGTGGCAATGATATGGATCGGTCCATTCGGTGGTGTGTGTGTTGCTGTGTGTAGGTGGCGTGGTGTGTGTGGTGGACCTGCAGTCTGAGAGCGTTGTGAGAGAATTCGGAGGGCTCACAACCGTCACGGACCTGGCATTCAGGTGAGCGATGACAATGCAGCGTCCTCAGGCAATGGAGCACCGTTTGCCCATGACGGTGTCTGTGATTCACTCAGTCCTGACGGTCGTTGGCTGGCGGTTGGTTGCATCGACAGCTGTCTGTACGTGTATGACCTGTTCGCCTCTTCCCTCATCGACTGGGTGCGCTTCCAGTCGCCCCCACTCGCCGTGGTCTTCGAACCGAACGGGGTCTTCCTTCTCACATCACACACACACTCCAAAGGTGAGCTCGGCTCGGCTAGTGGGGCCAAGGAACGTCGCTGCTTCTGATGCGCCTGTCTGTCTGTCTGTCTGTCTCTGTCTGTCTGTCTCTGTTTGCAGGTGGGACCTTCGTGTGGGCCAACAAGCACGTCTTCGACCCCTACCTGCGCGCCCCCCTCCTCAGTGGCGTCCCCACACAGCCCATCGACATTGAGGAGCCCACCATCACCAAGCAGGTCGCTGACGATGAGGGAGAGGATCTGACCGAGGAGAAAGACGGGCAACAGGAGACAGATGGGGTGGAGCCGGCTCATGGCGACGAGGTCGAGAATGGGGGTGTCGTGGAGCCTCTGCACGAGGGCGCTCTGACGCTGTCGGGCGTGCCGCAGGGAAAGCTCCAGGCCATCCTCTACCTCGAACAAATCAGAGAGAGGAACAAAGTGAGAGCAAACAGACACGGACAAGCAAGCATGGCTTAGTACTTCTGCACTCTTCTCCCTTCCTTTGCCCTTCTCAGCCCCGCGAGCCGCCCAAGCCTCCGCCGAAGGCCCCCTTCTTCCTGCCCACTCGCTACGAAGGCGTCGACCTCAAATTCGCCCCCCTGGCTGCCGACGAGGCACTCGTCGAGGATGAGGAGGGAGGGGAAAGCGAGCGTGCTGAGCAACCAACTGCCAAGCGAGTGCGGCGGTCAGCGAGTGGGATGACGGCATTTCAGCGTCTCGTGAAGAAGGGCAAGTACGATGCGATGCTGAATGCGTTGAAGGGCATGACGCCCTCTGGGGTGCACGTGGCGTTGTCGCAACTGGGGCCGCTGGCAGGGGGGACGATCAAGGAAGTAAGGGAAGAGGGAGTGAGAGGGCAGTGAGTGCTGAGAAAATGGCACCGTTGTCGTCACGTGCAGATAATAAGTGTCTTGGGGTTCTTTGAGCACTACCTCGATCGTCGTGATGAGGCCGACCTGATCCAGACGCTGCTGTACACCTTCCTACAGGTAGGAATGCCACACGCAGCGACGGGACAGATGGGAAAGAGGTAGGTCAGTCAGCTTGCCCGCTCTTTGTGTCAGTTTCACCACCACTGGCTGTTTGGTGACCCCGACCCCTCGACCGACCCGAGCGAACACGCCGCTCTCATCGACGCCGCCAGCCGTGTTGTCAGCCGACTTGACGATGACTGGAAGGTGCTGGACCACCAGTTCCAGCACCTGTTCTGCTCTATCAAACTCCTGACACACCTGCAGGTGAGGTGATAAAAAAACTGGCTGGTCGGTGCATGTTTGAATGCGGCCTCTGTGTGTCTTGTATCTTGTGTCTGCATCTCTGCAGATGGAGACTTAGAGAGTGAGCATGGTGTATGTGTTTTGCGTTGTCAGGGGAACGGATCGTGTGCATAGAGCGTGACGCATAAGGGGTGTGGTGAAATCCGCCATTTGACGTACGATTGCAAGAAGCGCGACTTGGTCTACATGAGACACATTCATTCGTCAGATATATGAATCGGAATGGTACAATAAGCAATGAGCATGAGTCAGACAGTCAAGTGGATAAGAAAACCGAAGCAGCAGCAGCAGCTCGCGCGAGCAGGGAGAGCCGTCGTCGTCTAGCGCAGCGTTTCCCGCGTCTGTGGCGGCACAGAACGAGACGAATGGGGAATACGGAGGGAAAGAGGGAGAGGCCGAGGGGGGCTG